GCCAACGGAACAGAAAGGACAAAACGATACGTACAAACAACAGAACAAATTGCACTAAGACTAATAACACGAATAAGACACTCCCAAAACCCACTGCACAACCCTTCCAACCAACTACTCTACGAACGCACAAACATGACAACAATTTCCGAAAGACTAATACACTTACAGACAAAATGGACAAACAACCCCCACAACTGGACCATACTGAATCTCCTTTGCCTCACAAGACCGACAAAACACTCCCGTTTTCGTTCCCCAACAGATACTTTACTAGAACACCTACAAACGCAACTGAACTAAGGACTAAGATATGTTTGTTTTGTAAGCCAAGAATTTTAATTTGTTATTTTTTTATAGCTGATTAAGTTATACGAGTGTTAGGAATAGAAATTAATTTTAGAATAAGGTAGGCTAAGACATATGTACTAACTGCCTTTTTCTGTAGGAAATAAAGAGTATTTATATATATTATATATATGAAAATAAGCAAACATGCCAGTGCTGGTGATTGATATTACTATGAACGAACAGTTGGCAGCATGAAAAGAACTAGAAAAGTCACTAAAATTGCGGCTAGCTGCAAGAAAGTTTAGGTTTGGAACTATAGCCGGCAAGTGCAATAAAAGTTGCCGACAACTCGAAAACTGATAAAATCCGCAAGCGTAGAACAAAATATTGCGTGCAAGAAAGTTGCGGGCAATAAAAATTGCCGACTGTAAAACGGCCTTTACTTTGTCAGGTGCTTAATCAGAATGCTCAGCACTTCCAAGTTGGTTTTCGGCAGCTTGTATAACAGCTTGTGCACTTCGTGCACCCTGTTTTGCCTGGATTCCCTTTCTGCAACAAACCGGGGGTTCAATCCAGCACCAATAGCGCTTCAACTTCAACTTACTGACGGCGTTGATAAAGTCGTTGTGATGCTTGAAAGACATCAGCGGTTCGGGCAGATTGCGCAAATACGTTTTCAGAGCGGTGGTTATGGTTTTGGTTTCCCATTCTTGCGGGTCATCAAGAGCCACTTTATCGGCTTTTCTCCGATCCAGCCCCATTGTCAGGAGCTTATTTACCTTGGAAGTCACTCCAACCACACTGAAACTGCCTGGTTAATCCATTTCTTACAACTGGCACCATCAGGCAAACCCACCGATAAATTCCCTGCTCCTCCAGCCCGCGCTTCTCCAACACCTCTATACAACGTTTGACAAAGTGACGACCCACATCGTCTAAATCGTAACTTTCCTCGTTGGAATTCGGGATTTTATTGGTCGGCGCTGTGTAAGTCTGAAAAGGTTTGATTAAATATTGATCAAGTAAAACTGGGATTT